AAACCTACAGATATATATATATGGGCTTTTAAATTTTTTATCTGTTCATTGCGGCTGGTAAAAATATAGATTCTTGCTTTTAAATTACCTGTGCGTAGTGTTGGATTGTACATTTTTGTGGTAATGTTATCCATTGAAATTCCACTGTATGTTGGCATACAGTAAGTCAATTATTTATCTTTTCTATGCAAAAGTTTTCCTGAAGATATCAGAGAGGCCTGTATGACAACATCTTTCTTTTTATGGCAGCAAGTGCCACTGAAGCTGGGGAAGATCCAGATTATTTTAGGGATTTACTAGATAGCATTGATTCTCACGAGTTGATTCGGTGAGACAATATATGTACCAGCCACAGTGAATGGGTTAATAAATGAAATTTTAATATTATATAAGTTTTAAGTCCTTGATTTTATAAAGAAATATTAAAAACATCCTAAATCTCCCCTAGTATGAAAATTGTGACATTTGCTCTCTCGGTCTTCCCTCTTCTCTAATGTATTTACCACTTCTCCAAGAAGTATGTAATTTAATGTAAATAACTTATTGTAATATAGATATTACTCAGTCAAACTGTAGTTTTTATATCCTTCAATCTTATTTGTTTATGTAGCCAATAGTTCTCTTTGATGTTTATACTATATTTGTAACCAATAGAAAAACCAAAGTTTTAATCTATAAAATGACATTTTTTTTTACAGAGAATAATCTATTTTACTTCCAGTTCAAACGTTATTCTCATGAGAAACACTCTGACAAGCTTAGCCGAATTTTTTAATGGCCCTTATCACATAGTTAGAAAGCCAGAAAAATTTTGATAGTTATAGGAAATTGTTTGCTTTTTTTATGCATTATTATTCTATGTTCTTTGGTGCATTGTTTAATTTAATAAAAAATTATTTAGTGCAGTAGTACCTTTAGTGTAAAAAAAAAAGTAGGGTTAAGTTTTGTTTGCAGCAAAAAAAAACAACAAGTAAGGACTATATTTCTTGTTTTTTATGTGTATTCTTTATTTATTATTATAAATAACTAACATGTAAAAATTAAAAACTTGTTAGGTTAGATTAGGGAAGATAATGAAAAAATTAATTATGATAAAAATTCTTCATCTTCATGAGGCATGCTTTGCAAGCAGTTCATGCATAACATAATTTGATACAGTAACATGAGCTGCATGTTTGCCTTGTGATTTACAACTTGTGTAGCAGGACAGGGTTCAAAGGTCTATAAAACAATAAAATTTAGTATAAATGTATACTGATACAAGCTTTATTTAGGATAAATAATTGGAGTTTCCTGTTACATTTTGCAGTCATTCTAGAAAGAAAAAAGGGTAATTTTATATGGTGGTTAATGAGATTGGTCAAATTGACTGATTCCTTATAGTTATGTTAGAGAAAATAAGAGAAAAAGTATTTTGGAGAAAAAATATTTAATATTTAGTTAGGAGGTTTTAGAGATAATGCAAATGAAATTTTACAATTTTCAAATGAAGAAAAGTATTTTTAATATTAACTCTTTCAACCAGGGCTTGGTCCCTGGGACCAACCTTGTAATAATTTTGTCCTTGTTTTAGGTTTCATGCAATAACTTTGAAATTAGTAAGCGAATGTTAACGAAATTTGGCAGTTCATATGCAAAATATCTAATTTTTTTTTATTAAGTCTTAGGTTTGTAAAGCAATGTTTCTCTCATGCCTTTTTTTTTTCTT